ATCATTTCCGTCATCATCATCATATCATCTTCCATGACCGCTTCTTCTTGCCGGTCGCGGAGGCAGACGCATCAGAGAGTGCGGCTAATATTATTCCCCATCCTGAGCCAGAGTCTGAGCTTCGGCAGAAGACAACGGGGAGTCAGGAGCAGACTCCTTCCGTATATTTGCACCAGGTAAATCTTGGCCGTCCCTTGGGCCATCTGCCGGTCGATTGAGCAAGAACCACTTGCTTTGCCTTCCTTTCTGGAGGCATTCGCACTACATGCCCAAACCGTCGTAGCCGTGACTCTCATTTCCGTTATTAACATAGAATTACAGCAGGAAAATATATACCATACACATTATCAACGAGATAGTCAAAATCAGGGCAAGCCCTGGGATCACCGTTTTTGCATCTCATTTATATCGTAAAATGCATTTATCAACATAATGAAATAGAAATAAACATATAATTAAGACTTAGGCCTTGAGCAACTTACGCAAATAACTGACTATCATCTGCGTCAATGCAAAATGCAGCCACACGGGGCACTCACATTGAACAGCATGGTCGTGCACCTCGTCCATTCTGACATGACAACATCAGAATATCACACCGTCCCCATTATTTACAAGTCACCCATTTACTACCCGTTTCTCGGTTGGTTGCGTTGAAGCAACGTGCGGTTAATATTAATTCATGTAATTATTTCACTGTTAAGGGAAATCGCAGTAACAACAACGATTTTCCAATCCATTCTAACCTTGCAGCTACGGAGTTCAAACCGATTTCACTGGCTCTGTGCTGCCACACCACAACAATAGTTTTGAAACTAGCTTATAACTAAATTTGAACGACACTGATATAAGCTCCATGTCATGAGGTAACCTGCATGAGTGGGTGTTTCGAAACAGCTCACCAATATTCAGTCATTAATTTATTTTCAATGACCGCTTCTCTGTTCTGGCAACGGAGACAGAAACGACAAGCAGTGCTTCCTTTTCTATCCTGTGCCAGCGTCTGAGCTACAACAGAAGGCAACCGCGGTCATGAGAAGACCCTTCCCACACATTTGCACCAGGTTCACCTACACTATATCTTGGGTCCTCCGTCGATCGACTGGACAAGTACTATCTTCTTATCCTCCTTTTCTGGAGGCATTAGCAACACATGTCCAACCCATCGCAGCTTTGACTTTTCAATCTGAAGAAATCCCGCGCATTCTTGTTCTGCTGCCGGACAATACGTTATTGCAAATAATGATACGGGATTTTAACGTGAATACGTTCGATATAAAGAAAGAAGATTTCATTTCTTACTGTACACGATATTTCGGAAGTACATGATTGATGGAAGGCTTACATCTGGTAGTGCCGCAAAATTGCACTATCCCCTTGCTTTTAGTAGCCTAGTGTGGGGGTGGGACCATTTATGCATGCCACCGATTCATTTAAACGTATTTATTTTATTTTGGTATTTAAACGTCTGCTTTGCATAGGTCGCATGACTGCAACTCGTAGTTGGGTTGGTGTTCAAGCCAAAACGTAGCTATCCATGTGCTAATACACAAAAAATAACCCTGGATGTAACTTTGATGTTCTGCTGTAGCCCCCCTCCTCCCGACTGGAGGTCTGGATGTCACCGGTTAATGAGTCATTACATATAATCATCCCACATATTCAGATTTTAACGACGAAGTCGTACTGTGTGAAAAAAGAATAAACTTCTCTTTATAGCAACATTGCGTTAGTGTAAGACTGAGGAAAGTGTCATACTTGGTAGGACCGCAGTAGGTGCAAGTAAAAGACGAGGTCATGCATCATATGCACTGCGGACGTTTAAATACCACTAAGCCATGTGTCTCGATGCCCCTTCCTCCATAGGAGACTAGAAGCAAGGACGTGGTGCAGTATTCTTGTACAACCCGGAATAAGGTTTCCATCTGCCTTACAGAACAGTCGATGACAGTAAGAAAAACGTTTTGTTTCTTTACACAATACATTTTCGCCGCTTCAATTCAATATCATTATTTATTTCTAATGTCATGCATTTACGGGCCGTATCAAAGCCCTCCCCCTCTTGGAAGCTATCCCAGAAAACTGGAGTTTGCTTTTCTTCTATGTATTAGCCTACGGATAGTGGATACGTGTTTCGCTTGAAAATTCCCTTCTTTAACCTAACCTAAAGAGGCGGTCGCGTGTCCTATGCACTGCAAGCACATATATAACATGGAATCGTGGCCTGAATAATGGTTTCCTTCAGTGACTAGGAGAAAGCAAACGGTACTGCCAGGTATATGGTATCCATTTGTCTTGTACTATCCCAATGTGGGTGTACAGTAGGAAACTAATTTTTCTCTTTGTATATTGTGCAATTTCGCCGTTAAAATTTTGTATCATTGTTTGTATCAAACTCAATGAATTAATGCAATTTTTGTTTCCTATGAACTACACAATCAATTTAATTATAGTAGAAACACGCTTCTGTCTAATAATGCATTTTGCCTACTTGGAGCGATCTGCATGGGCTGCTCTAAAGCAGCGGGAACCTTCTACCTCTTAATCATTGGTCGCTTCATTATTGGGATCAATACCGGTAAACAGTTTGATCAATCTATCATAAAAATGTGCAAACTTTTAATGCTCAGTCTTCAGGTATTAGCGCCGCTATTTGTCCCATGTACCTCACGGAAATATCCCCGATATCGATTCGCGGAATGCTTGGAAGCACACCTCAGCTGACGCTAACCATCGGAACGTTAGTGTCACAGATTCTTGGACTGAGAAACGTTCTTGGAACAGAAATGTTGTGGCCACTGTTGTTAGGTAATGATCTTATTTGCTGTGATGGTATTCCTCAATGTCCCCTTTTAAGTTCTGACCGGCGTTCCGGGCATCATACAGCTACTTACATTAGGATTCTGTCCTGAAAGTCCGGTGCATTTAATTACGAAAGGCAAGGTCGAACAGGCCGGCTGTGGTAAGGGTTTTTGTTCATGTTTAACGGCATTATCGCTGATAGTTACGAAACAGGAATGAATTTCAGCGAATTTTATCATTAATGCTAAAATGGCTGTTTTATATCTTCTGAGTTGCTTGACTGACCTCCATCTTTTGTCTACACGGGGCTTAGTGATGAGCAACCGAATTTATTTCTAAAAGAAGGGCTCACTATGTCTAGAATCTGAAAATATTTTAGACACTCACATGGCGCAATCATTTACAGCCCTACTCCAATGGATAATATTATCCTAATATCTTTCAAAGCATTGACTGCCGGCTGCTTTTACAGGTCGTTGCTCCGCCGGGTACTGCGATGAAGTCTAAGTTGAAATGAACAATGGTAAATTAACAGTTACAAATATTTTACTGCGCCTGAATTTGAAGCTGAATTGTGAAGCCCTTAATCAGACACATGATCCAGTTTTCTAACTTCCTTCAAGCTATCTACAACGTTTGCAGAAGATGTGTTCAGAACCGTTTAGGTTCCACCCAAAAGGACCGCCCATGTTTGCTTTCATAGACGACTGTTCGCCCTTGTGGCATCATTGGTCAGTTAACCAATCTCTGTAAAACTTATAAGGAAATTTTCATCCAGAATTTTTATTTTTCGTTAATGACGGTTTATCAAATAGAACATGCGGTTTTCTTGTACATTTCCCAGATCCACACTTTCCAGGTATACTCCTGCTAACCTAACTGTATTTTTAAGGATGTCATGGTTGTGGCTCCGTTTCCACTTTAGTTGTCATCACTGGAATCTGCTCAAACCGCCATGCGAGTTTAACCCCTCGTATCCACAGAGGATAGTGATCCCCAATGAATACTCTGCCTCCCTCTGCCGCCAAGGCTTCGCATCGTACTCCATTTTTTGCAGCATAGGCCAGCATCAAGGCGATGCTTACTTGGCTGCTCGACGCCTTCCCATCGCAGACATCAGTTACAGAGCGTCTTACAATGCAATTATCAAATCGATCATAAACATTTGTTTACAAACTTACCAGGTAATACAGATGCACGCCTCGATGCTCGTAGAATGTGTCCATCGCAACAGGCAGTCCGCTGCTCGAACCAAAATGCATCACCACGTAACTTGAATCCGCTATTGTTTGCGTCGCTAGAGCCGTTCTTTTGAATCATATCTATCTAATTTGCAGGGTCTCTTCGAACCGCACTGAAATCGCTATTCTGAGTGATAGATTCCGCAGTCGGAAATACTACAGACCACTTTCTATGACCTTCAGGAAGAACTCATACTTAACTCGAGTTAAGAGCGCAGACCTTTATCAAAATCAAAGCTATAGCCTGTTGTAACATCAGTCGAATGACTGTCACTCTTCCGCTGAAGATCTTCCATTTCATAACTCCGTCAGCCAGTTCTACCAGAGCACCAGCCTCGACGCGTATGGTGAAGTTGGAAACTCGCAGAGACTCTGAATGCAGATGCTTCATTGATAAGAGTCCACGAATCTTTACTCGGTATCTTACCGCCTCATAAACTGGATCATGCTCTTTAACCCTGATTGAAGAGTTGCTCTAATTTTTGGCTATATGTTCACACTGCCCGCATTGCATATGTGGAACCTAACGGTACGGAAATGTCTTCGATCCCTGTTCACAACGTGTAGTGCGTCTTTGGCTCACTGGTACCTTCGTCATCTTCATGTCGATCTTCTGCAGCCATTGTCATAATGCTACGCTCCCAGCTGTCGGATAGCGGAAAGAGGATGCCTATGTATGTATGTATGTATGTATGTATGTATGTATGTATGTATGTATGTATGTATGTATGTATGT